CTGAGTTAGTTGGAACAGATTTTTTTCAGTCGAACTCACATGTTGATTTTGATATTTGTTTTGTTGTGTCGGCATTCACATTTTGATGAAGCAAGGAATATAAAAAAAGTAAAACGACCCAACAAAAAAGGTTACATGTCTAGCAAAAGAAAACAAAAGAGGGTGAAGAATAAATGTTGTACTACTGCTACAGTTTGAATGTACTACAGTCTACACCTGCGGTAAATTGTGCTATAAACAATGATACGTGGGGACATCTACATCATCTATGCAATAATTCAAATGTCACGTGGTCCAATGTTAATAGGTCTGTGTGTGTGTGTTCGGACTTAAACATCAATTCCAGTATAACAAACAAAGAAAAAGAAAACGTCCGACTCATAAAGTTCAACGGTGTGACAGTTTCCAAATGTATGGCTCAAGTTTTAGAGAGAGATCTAATCAATTATTCATGCTACTACAACTTGCAAGTTTTAGATTTTCTCACTTACGAAACAGAAAGAGAAAGACATGTTTTTTTGTTTGTTTTTGTTTTGATAAATCGAGGGAGTCCGAATCTTTGGCTAGAAAGAGATGTTTCTAATTTGATCATAATAAAAGGAGCTCAAACAAGGCTCACAAATATAAAATTATTTTTCGTTCTTTATTTCTTCTTCTATCTTTTTTTTTTGTGTGTGTATTATAATAAAAATGAATTAAAAACCAACTAAATCAATTCAATTTTTATTTTTTTGACGTATTCAAACCTAATAAAGAAGACTCATTGATCATGAATGAGTACAAACAACACATATAGTCGTTGGGGCAAAGGACTAAGATCATAAGGCATTAAGTTTATGATGACATAGCTAAGATTATTAAGTTTGAGAACTCCTATTTTTGTACAGTTTTTAGTCATGACGATTTTTTTAGTCTGGACTCTTGGCTAGAATTGTAAACCCAAGTACATCATTTTTTCTTGGAGATATATAGATTTTCATTATTAGCAAACAAACAAATAGTGACATTTAGAAAGAAAAAAAAATCCATAGTATTATTGTTTTGCTTAGAATCTCTATAATTTTAGACATGAACTGCGTGAAAAGTGAAAACCGACTATTTTTTTCCTAAAAAAAAAATTCAAAAGTGAAAACTGAGTTACTTACCTCTAAATATTATCAAAATTGAAACGTTATTAAAATTTCCTTGAACCGTTTTTAAGTCTGATATGAGTTATAAGCTTTATTCAAATGAAAACGATTGTTGATGCTTTGATCATTTATCGATTTTGATTAGAATAAAATGATTGAAAATGAAGACAAGGTGTTGTATTCTTCGGGTTTTGACTCAAACTCAATCAGCATTGAGATATTTTAGTCTTGTGAGAATGACATTGTGGAATCAAGCTTACCATTTCGTTGCCACTCCTTTGTTTTTTTTTAATTCGCACTTGATGCGCAGTATAAAATTGCTTTCTGGAAAACGCCTACTTGATTTCAAAAGCTTGATTGATAATTTCATACCATAATTGTGAGGCCCATATGAAGATTAGAGTGAGGCCCAATTTTACGAAGCTTATCAGTTATGGATTACCATTTTACGAAGCTTATCATGAGTAGAAAAAGCTCATGAAACTAATATTAAAATTTTCAAAATTTCAGTATATCTTTAAAGGTCCATTAGAAACTTGCATCACACGAAACCCTAGTACTTACTCAGTAGACAACTGGAATTGTTTTTTGAAGCCAATTAACGATAAAATCTATGTGAAAGCAAATGACAACAGTTGTTATTTCTCCATGATTATGATAAGTAGACTAGGCTTGAACTTATGAGTTTTATTTTGCACACTTGTCTAGCTTTTCCTCTTTGCATTCTCTGTTTCAGAAAAAAAGGCAAAAACAATTCTTCAAATTTTAGCAAGTCAGTGAGATTTGTTTATGAAGATAACTCTGAAGACCATGAATTAAGGTAAGCTTTTGATCTCTATAAATATATGTATATATATATATATATTTTTTTTTTTTTTGGTCACGAGATCTCTATATATTTTTAAATTAATATTCTGATCCAATATATATGTATCTTATTATATAAATGAGGATGCGCACGATGAGATTGCGACACGTAGGCGAAATTCTTATTCACCTGAACGTGACATGTGTCTATTATTAATCAGATGATGACACGTGTTAAAAGATAAAATTTAATTAAGAAAAAATAATATTAAAAATAAAAAAATAACAAAATAATTGTCAAATAACTCACCAAATAGTAAAAAGGAAAATTTTCTTATAGTTCAAACTAATTAGTCAAAAAGAAAACTTATAACATACCAAATTAATCGAAAAAAGAAAATTCACAATAGTCCAACTAATTATATATATATATATGATAAACTGTAGAAAGAAAACAAAAAGCTGAGATAAACAAAAAATTTAATAACCAAAAATGTGAATGATAAAACAAAAAAAAAATATCATATAAATTTAAACCAAAACAAAATTAGAAAAATATGAAAATTTCAAAGTAAATATAAAGGAGGATGCACACGATGAGAATGCGACACGTAGG